ATATTTTCTGATAACATTTTTTTCTTTGACCATTCTGATCTCATAATGATGATTTTAGATTACAATTTACTCTATCACACAAAATTGTTATATCATAATTTCAGTTCCGTATCATATTCAGTTTTTCATTGTATTACGCTCTTTTTTTTTAAATAGGAGAACCGTGCATTTCTTTAGATATATTTTTTGTTGAGTGCCGTCTGCGTTTCTGAAGTCGTAGTAGACCCTTAATTTATCCCGAGCAATTATCTTTTACACAATGGAATTAATTTCAATTCTTACTTGAGACCATCCAGCCTTTTAATTAATTATGAAATGAAGACTGCCACAATTTGTATCTACATTTTTACTGCACTTATGAAAGTTAAGAAATAACCGAAATGTATGCGTTTTATCGTATGACTTAGACATTTTTTATTATATGACTAAATATCAAATAGTAGTTTTTAAAACAACGATTAATGTAATTTTTTTTATGAACAATTAGCGCACTAGTTACAACGCTAACTGCTAGAAGATCTAATTTCATCATTTTTATTTGTTCAATTTTACAAAAAATTGAACAGAAAAGAAAGATTGCGACCATGGAATAGGAAGGGGGATACGAAATATTGCCAGTATAGTATAATTCTATATATCGATCACGTAAACATCACATTTTGTTATTATAGCAATGTACAAGGGTCCAAATAGTAAACCAATAAACAACAAATTGAACATTAATTTAATTGACATCAAGATTTATTAAGAAGAATAAAAAATTAATTGAAATCCCTAATATGTACATGTATGCGACGTTAACTAAAAAAAACAAAAAAAAATCGGTTCACGTTCTTAATTAACATGTTGATCTCAAACGTAACAAATACGTCTGTCTGAAATATGGACGGATACAAAGAAAGAAATGATGATAAAACGAGTAAAATAAACTATCAAAAAAAATAGCGATAAATGAAGGAAAGAATGGAAAGATCGAAACAAGTGTTTGTTGAGAGTCGGCTGGAAAAAGAGAAAAAAACATAATAAATTTCGTTTAAGTAAATTATTGTAAATATAATTTTTTTAGTATGATGGCAAGGACAATAATTTGTCAAAAAAATCTTCAATTCCAATTCTACTTTCAGAAATGGCGCTAGAGACATTGACATGGCTGAATTTAAGCTTTGTGGAGAAGATTCTGCGAAAATCGGAAGATGACAACTCGATTCAGATCATCGATATATGTTCGGAACTAGCCACGAGCAAAGGTGACAACTACACCAGCGACATGATCAGGATTACTGCCGAATATTCGCGCGATCAAGGCAGCTGTAATATTAAAGAGAAAATATCAATTATCCTTAAAATCTTGCCTGAACTTGGAAGTGTTCGACAAAAATTTGTAAGTTGCTTTAATGTGTACAATATTTCGAATTTAGAGAGAAAAAAGAAAGGAAAAAAGAAACAGAGAGAGAGAGAGAGAGAGAGAGAGAGAGAGAGAGAGAGAGAGAGAAAAAAAAAGAGAGAGAGAGAGAGAGAGAGAGAGAGAGGAAGAGGAATAAATATGTGGCAAGCTGTATTGTTTCGGAGTACATTTCTATTCAACAGAAAGATTAGGATAATTATTCTTGATCGATCAGTAATTAAAATTAAATTATTTTTATAAATCATTTTTAAGGAAGCGGATATACACATGCACGTATATAAAAAACATTTTTTATTTGTTTAAAAACAAATTTAAAATTGGAAAATTCTTAGTACACAAATCTTATACAGGCCTTTATATAAAAAATAATTGCATATTTGTTAGATTAAAAAAGATTCCATTTATTAACCTTGAATAAACTTGTTACAGGTCATAGAATCAGGTCTTTTTCATACCGAAATGTCGATGATGTCAAATACATTGAATAAAATGAATAAGTTGTTAGAGCCAAAGTATCGCTTGAGCGGGAAGACTCTCTATGTGCAAAATGAAGATCCAATGCTTCTGGCGATAGAAGATCTCGCAGCTCTCGGCTTTCGAATGGCCGATCGTTTGTCTGGTCTTGACCTAGATCATTCCATATTGGCGCTTCGAAGTCTTGCCAGATTTCATGCAGCCTCCGTAGCCCTATGCGAAAAAGTAAATCACTAAGCGATACTAACAATCAGTCGTAACATCTCGTTGCATTAATAATAACTCAGATCATGGCACAAATGCAAGGACTATTCTCTTTCAGAATGTCTTTTTGATATGTGTGTTGTCTCGGCTATATCATAATTTTCTTTAAAAAAAAATTTGCTTTAAATTCGTCAGAAAATTGCATGATATTAAAATTATTGTGTAAATTTTTTGTATATTTTGTGTGTGTGTGTGTGTGTGTGTGTGATGTATATAATATACATTCCAAATTTCCAGTCCGCACTATTATTTAACAATTTATAATCGAATGTATAAAGGTTCTTTAATTACAATATTTTAATATTTAGGAGCCAAAGCAAAAAGAAATATACTCGAAGGGAACTTTTAACAAGCAGCAATCATCAGAAATGAAAAATATTTTCATTAAGTGTACAAAAGGTTTAGCAGACGAGATTGCACACTGGCCTGAAGTAAAAAAGTAAGATATGTTTAAACATAAACGACAGTATTCATTCTTCTATTGTTTAATGTTTATGATATCATTTTATATGACAAGATAAATGTTTAATAAGAAAAAATTGAACGTTAAACAGAAAATGGCAAATGCAAATACATATTATGTTGCTTATAACGAATATTTACATGATTTCATATAATTTTATATTTATTTCATTTGTATTGCTAGATACTCGGAAAAAATTGCTAAACTCTCCGATCACATATATCAAATAGGAATAGATTCAACCAAGCTCTGTGATGAGGAATTTAATGTTATTACTCACGGTGATTTTCACGTGAGTAATATGTTATTCAGATATGACAATGATGGCAAGCCTATTGATCATATGTTTGTAAGTATCATCATTTACATTAAAAATATATTGTTGTAGGAAAATGAAAATTTTATTATGAATACAATTACATGTAACAAAACTGAATCACTTTATTTCATTCATTTAATCATTTTTGAATTTTTATGACAGTCTTTATTGTTGGGTGCAATAATGACAAATTTAAATAAAAATAAACAAAATAAATTAAACTGAATGAATGGATTTCAAAAGAGAAACACTAATACGCATTTTTCACTTATACGCCATGTCGATTTTAGCGATTAAAACAAACAGGCGATGTGTGATAATATAAGGTAAGGGAGAAACCGCACTTAATGTGAGCCTCCTAAATTTTGAGAATTTTTTTTATTTTTTGATGATATTAAAATTGAAAATTAATGGCCATATTCAAAAGGAACCTTTGTAAACATTGAAAAAAAAATGTAAATCATATTCATATTTATATAGACGCAATAGAGTTTTAAAAGAAAGATAGCAATTGGAGCGCCTTAATAAAATGTGTACCCATGTGACTCGCGTATACGTTTTCCTTTATGCGAAAATATCAAACATATGAAGAATAAAGTGATTCAACGTTATTTTTATAAGTTTATATTATATAAACCTATATTGATATATAAACATTTAAAAAATCTATTTATCAACTTACATACCTATGTTAACTTCTCCTTCTTAAAAATTATATTTCCGGATCTACTTGTAGTTTGGACAAGTAAAAGGTAAAGTAAAAAAGGACAAGTAAAATGAAGATCGTGTAGGATTATTCTACACAATCTTCATGAACATATTTGTAACAAATGTCACACTTATACATGTGCTCGGACATGGCCCACATCATCATGCAAAAAATTCTTTTTCTTTATAATTATAAGCAAAACGTTGTGACAAAAATATAAACTAAATATAGTGTTGTAAAGTATGAATATAGTGCTACAATAACATATACTACGGAAATTAATAACCACGTTTTCATATAATTATAGAAAGCAAAGAAATAGCAATTACTTACTTACGGAATATTACATTACGACCACAACTTATCAGTATAAATTTATCGAGCTCTCAATATTAAAAATAATATTAACAATAAAATAAGGCAACTAAAAGGTAAAACGCTGTTGCCATTAACGTGATGTATTACAATTCTTCTTTATTATTCTTCTTTACATACAATTCCGACACGTTTCGGCTGCTTTTTTCAGCCATCTCTTCAAGGTTAAATCCAGTCAATTATTCAATATTATTAAATGAATGCAGGCACAATCAGCAAACCTCGAGTAATTCCCCATTTGATTATGTAAAACCCTCTTCTTGTAATTCTTCTTACAACAGTTCGTAAGATCTATATTCACAAATTCATTTTATGCTCACGGAACTACATTCTATGTTTATCAAATCTGAAGAAAATTCACCGGTTATACTAATAAATTCTCCATTCGATTAAACACAACTTAAATCAAAATTATATAAAACTTGTCGATTGACACAACATATCAGTTTTTCCTATTTTTACACAAGCAGAATGAATAATATGATTTATAAATCGACGCGATCAAGTCGTACGAATCGTCTGCTCGAATTACTATCGTCATATGTTAAATTAATCATATAATTATATACAAACAGCGAGTGGCCCACTTTCGGAAACCGCCCAAATTGGGCCCGGTTATTTTACTTGGAAATGCAATATGAATGAATAATGCAACAACCTCAGATGTTTAATCGCATTCGGCTATACTCGTCACTTTTCTATTCATGTCGTTACACTACTATACTATCAACCTTGTTGTTGAAATTTCTAAATATGACATTCCTAAACATAACTTCTTACTTTCAGAATGAATAGATTTCATTTCCAATCTAATATTTCCGAGAGCTCAAAAAATGTACCGATCGAAAAGATTTATTTGATTACAGGTAGACTTTCAAATGTGCGTTTACGCAACGCCGACACTCGATTTATTATTTTTTCTCAATACAAGTCCTTCCTTGGATGTTATGGAAAACAATACAAATACTCTATTAAACGAATACCTTGGCACCTTGTCGGCGACTATGAAGCAATTGAATTGCAAGACACAGCCCCCTACCATGGAGGAACTAAAAGCTACCATGAAGCGAAAAGCTGACTATGGAATGATAATATTCTTCGTCGTTTTACCGTTTTTGCTGTGCTCTAAGGCTGAGGCGAAAGATTTGGATGAATTATTGAGCACTGGCATAAATCCAGGTTTCAAGACCGAGATTTATAAAAAGTTAATGATGAAAAGATTGCCACTGTATGACGAATGGGGTTTATTGGATCTTTATTATGCGCATACTTAATCTTCAGTGATAAAAAATAAAAATAGAAAAGAAATAAAAATCTGAATAATAAATAAAAGTATCAAATATTAATATAACAGATGTTAGCAAATACAAACAAAAATAATAACAACAGACAAAGAATGTTGATACATGACTTTTTTTAAAAAAAGTAAGTACCATGGAATTATTGTGATATAATGACAAATCCTTTGATTCGAAAAATAGGAAATTATATTCATAATGACGGTTCATTTTTTATTTATTAAAATTTTAAAATAAATTGTGATCTTTATTTATTATATCATTATATCATAGAGACAACGATATGTATAGACACACGTATAAATGTACCTATTTATTTTATCATGTATGTAATATATATTATCTAATTCAACATATGTTAATAAAATACATTGTATAAAATTGCTAATTAATGTTTATTTTTTACAAATAAGACTTTTTTTATAGAAAATTTCCTTGTACGAATACTTTTTGCTGTCACTGTATATACCGGATATACATGAAAAGAATGACTTTTTTTAATCCCTAAAAATTTTCAGATATATCTTTTGGTAATTATGCAGAATAGGACTTTTTCTGAATTTCGACATTTTTCGGTTGCAATGTTGATAATAATCTTTGTTATGATTCAAATAGCGATAATAAGTCGGGCGAGGTCGAAAAATAAAAAAAAAATGAATATTTTTACAACATACATGTCTTTTCTATTCTATTTTTTTTTTATTGTCAAACTCTGTGTTCTTAATACCGTAAAAATATATAGAATGTATATTCCATGATAAATGGAAAAATGTTTCTAGTAAATATCAAATTTTAAAGTAAATATAAAATTCTATACGCCTAAGAACTATGAAACGCTGACTCTTTCGAGAATATATTTGATTAGAATCTTAAAATTTTGTGCAATACAACATCGATTATTGTAATTACAGCTGAAAAACTTCATTTGTTGCACATCGGAACGACTTTTTATAAAGTAAATATAAAATATTAAAATATTTACACTCAAATTGGATTTATTTAATTTTTTATAAATATCATTAAAAATTTTATTCCGATAAAACTGTTGCATTATAGCGAATCATATTAGCGCAATTGCCAAATTTTTCATTAATTCATGCTGCTATTATATTGTAAAAATTTTCATATTTTTTCTATCGATGAAGATAAAGACTCTTCAAAAACGATAACTTGTACAAATATCGTAACGTTTACTGTGCGATTCTTTTGACGACGCTAATTATTTGTTAAACAGGAAAATATCACACGGGTGCTCGTCTTATCATCGCACCATTATTTCCATTAGTACTTTTTGTTTGATAGAAAGATAAGTCTGCATGAATTTAATATTGACCAAGCTTCTGTAGTTACCTAAGACTCTAATGTGGGTACAAAGCCTGTGATAAATGAATAAATGAATGTGATGTATATATAAACCTGTCTATATAAGCTTGTCACTTCTGTTCTGTATGTCATTTCGACGCTGGCGTCACAAAACGGTACAGTGAAACAAAAGTGTTTAAGGAAGATAAACGACTAAAGTTGAAGACGACCAACTAACAGGTTAGCTATTTTATTATGTTGATCAACCCTTTATCATTATCAACCCTTTGTTTTCTTGACACTGTATTTAGTCGGAGATTATTTAGAAAAATTTTTAATAAAATTCGAAAAAAAGGATCCAAAACCAGGGCGATTGAGAAAGTCAGCGTGATAATTATTACGTAAAGTTTAATCTTGAACCTTTATTCCAATAATCTTTGAATGTTTTGACTCACTCCAAATTTAAATTTTGGGGGGCCAACTTCACGCTAGCCCCCCAATATTAAAAAATGGAATATTTTTCTTTTGCATTCGTTTGCTCATAGTTTGCTCACGATTGCTCCGTCGTAATTTTCGTTTGCTCACCCTTAGTTCAAAAGTTATATGAAATTTAAATTTTGGGGGCCAACTTCACGCTAGCCCCCCAATATTAAAAAATGGAATATTTTTTTTGTTGCATTCGTTTGCTCATCGTTTGCTCACGATTGCTCCGTCAGAATTTTCGTTTGCTCACCCTTAGTTCAAAAGTTATACGAAATTTATATAATACGAAATATATTAAAACATCGAATATTTTTTTCTGCATTCGTTTGTTCATTGTTTGTTCACGCATGCTCGCATTCGAACAGAATGAGCGCAAAATTTTGTTTTTTACGGATATAGGTATCGCATAAATATTTGATATATCAAGAACTGGCGCCAAATCCCATTTCTTTATTTACTTAATCCAAATAATACTATCTGTAATTTTTATACAATGAAATCTAAATGTACATATATCTTATTGAAGGATCTTCCTATTCCACTCCAAATGGTTTAAATTCTTAAATGAAATTATTATATCAAAATTCATTCAAAGACATTTTCTGTTCCAATTAAAGTAGTGGTTATTTATTTAATTCTCTTTCAAAATAATATATAAAATGTTATCACAAAGTTGCGTTACTTTGCTCAATTTAAGTGTTATCACAAAAATTAAAGAGTTAACCTTATAAAATAAAAAAATGTAATTTAAATAGAAAAATATTTAAAAAGGTAAGTTTGTATATAATCTTTCTTTTATACACATGATACATATCATTAGAGATAAGTAAATAACAAAAATAATAATACCACTTGGATTTTATTTATATAATTAGATTTTACCGTAAATAGTTTTTTCGAACAGCATATTATAGTGCTTTAAAAAATAAAATCCATTCAATATAATGGAATTTTTAACTATATTGCAATAATTTTTGCCAAAATGGTGTCTATAATACGATTGTAAAACTTCAGCCCTAAGCCATAAGAAATAGATCGATGACAAACGAATGTAAGGAAATTTATTTACATTTCTTACAGCTGAAGGCTTAAAGTTTAAGCTTTACGCTTTAAAATTTCATTGTAAAGATCGCTTAAAAGTAAAGATAAGGTACGTAAACGCATTAAATAAATGCGCTTCAAGTGGATTCTCCCTAATATATACATGAGGAAAGAAATAAATAGGAAACTAAACGGTAAAGATAAATGACAATTTTTTTCATAACTCTCAACAAAGTAATAAATAATTTTCTCTTGTGGAGAATATAAATATATAACGTAATAATTCCGATATGTACATATATATATATATTTTATAAATTTTATAAATATATATATATATTTATTTAATATAATAACAGAAAGAGATATATATAAACTTTCATTATGCTACATGTTATGTGGAATACATGTAGCATAGACTAAAAATGTTTTGCTATTATATAAGAAAACAGATTTTAAATCTTAATAATGTTTTATCCGGCGCAGGATGTTTGTGATAATTAACTAAAATGACCGGAAGCCTTATAATTATCAAAAGTATAATCTACATCTATCTTTTCTATGTTCTCGTTATTGTCTAGATGCTACTTAAATGTTTTATTCACAGATTTCTTATCAAATATAAAATCTATTTTTTTAAAAGGTACATGAAAAGTACACACACACACACACATTTAAAAATGCACATAATATTAATACTCGTCACTGGAAAAGATAAAAAAAATATATGTACATTTTTATATGTACTTTTAATGAATTATAGTCATTTGCACCGTTTTTTAATAAAGTCATATAGACATCGTAAATGTCATAGTGAATTCTTTGACATATATTGCACTTCAAAATTATAAGATCATTGTTACACTGAGAAAAAACGCTGTTGATTCAATTAAAATCTATATTACGGGCTGTCACTAACATAAGTGACTATTTCATGTATAGTTTTATTGACATAAAGGCGTAAATTATTATTTCAATAATCAAGGCCTTTATATCAATAAAAATATATGAATTAATATTACTTATGTTAGTGACAAACCATAATATAGACTTTAATTGAATCAATAGCATTTGTTTCTCAGTGTATAATGATGCAATAAAGTAAACTAATAAGAGCGTAATCGGCCTAATTTATAGAAAAATTTAGTTAATAAAATTTTAAGGTACATAAATACATTAGAATTTTTACATTCCAATTTTTTTTATTAGAGCTAAAACGCAATTATATTAATAATGCATTCAAACATCAGAAGCATCGATAATTAATTGGCTACACGAAAATAATCTTAAATTTAGCATTAATTAGTTTGATTAGCCGCCCGATGTAAATCTTACTACAAATGTTTGGGCATATATTAAGCATAAGCTTTGTGGAAGACAAATATTTAGTTTAAAGCAGTTATCTCGAGAAATTCGTAGATATGGAGATTCTTGCCGCATTAATACACTAGTGAAAGAACCATTACCTGCGTCTTTAAAAAAAATTGTTCATATAAACTATTCTGCAACAACTGTGATGCATTCGGTGCGTCCGGGTTCTCAGTCTTATTTGTATGGTACTATTCTTGTACGTGTCTCATGAACGATGAAGATAAAAGGACACAAATAGCATTAATAGCGTAACCCCGAACGCAGCCATTTTATGTCAGACGAACTGACTAATGCTGCGGTCCACTTAGCGCTTCAACCGCTACAGAGCATTTGTAACACTAACATGACTGTCCATTTGATGCTTCGGAACGCTCCCAGCAACTCTGATTACGTCATCAATACGTCACCGTTTTTGCTTCCACTTCACTTCAGCTGCCTCATCTCGGGAGGTGGGTCGGCTGGAGCGTTCACATAGCAATTGTAGCATTCGAAATGGTAATGGACCAATCGGAGAATAGCGTTTGGAGCAT